CTGCTTCAAGAACTTTCACCATCTCGGTTACCAACTTTCTTTGCTTTATGAAATATTTTGGTTCAGCAAAGACTGCTATTCTATAACATTTTCCATTGTTTGTATAAAGAACTATTCTATCAATGAACTTGTATTGTTTGTGTGTAAACTTTGTTCTGCTTCAATTCGAAGAGATACTCGAATACGTCCATCTTTTTATTCTAAGTAAATGTCATTTCCGAAAAATAGAAGCGTAAGTGTTTCAAAAGGTTTAATGGCGATGGCAGATGTGAAGTTAAATTCACCAACTCAAACAAACAGTCAAAGTGTTGTTGTCAATGTCAAAGACAGAGATGTTGAAGTGGGGAAACCATACGAAGACGAAGATGGTATAACAATAGTTCCTGTAAAAGAACAACCAACATACCCTGAAGTTAGCAGAGACTTAAGTTCTGTTGCAGATATTCGAAACGACTACCAACAACTGAAAGACAAACTTAAAACTCAGGAGAAGATTTGTCAAGCTTTAGGTCTAATGTTAAACTTGGTCGAACACAACCCTGTAAAAGTGAACTCATATGTCATTGCACCTCATGAAATTTTGAAAGAACTATTGAAACTTTTGACAGAGGCAGACGATATAAACATCAAAGAAATAGAACCGACATTGCTTGCTGTGGTGTTTCATATAATGTCATTGACAAGATATACGTTATGAAAGGAGTGAAACGTGAACTTAAAATATAGTTTCCCAGACGTCATAAAAATATTTGACGACCACAACATTTCATTAAAATTTACTTGCTAAGTAAAAATGGCAGAAGAATAGTGGTTTATACTATTACGACTAAAAACCCTGAGTCATATAATTCTATAACAACAAACTTACAAAGTCCTCAAGGACGATATTGTAAACTGACCTTAAACACGATGACGACTAAAGCCTGTTTTGCTCTTTTGACACCAGAAGATTTTATTGTTGTGAATGGTAAAAAATACTTCTTTGAAGATACTTACTCAGATATACCACCAACAGGTTTTGTTGACTTATTTAATACTTTAAGGACGGATGTAACATGTGCTGCAACTAGAGCAGGTTTCATTATGTTTGGATGTCCGACTGAGTTTAGTATAAACGATATGAGCTATAATACAAAACTTATCTGGTTTTTACTACCAACAGTTTCCTATAACAGGAAAAGGTGTCATACAAGGAATGTCTGTTCCATTGACTTTAAGTACACCTATTTTATATATTGTTTCAAACTTAGGTTCAAAGTGCTATTCGAATGTCGACAGAAACTACTATGACCAAAAGATACTCATGCGTATAAACAACACTTTCTCTGCTGGTTTGCCTATTGTTCATTCGAATGCAGAGTTTTCAGCTTTAGTGAACTCAAACACTTTGGCAAACATAAACTTAACCTTAGTTGACGCAAACTTTGTTCCTGTAAAACTTTTATGTCCTATGTATTTGTCAATGACGGCAGAAAGTTTCGAATTGGAAGATGCAACTGGTGAAAGTATTGTACTACAAGAACAACTTCAACAACAACTAGCTCAAGAACAACAAATGCAACAAATGGAACAAATGCAACAAATAGCTCAAGAATAAAAAAAATATTTTTTTTTATTTTTATATAAAAAAATGTACAGAATAGACGTTTCAGATTTTTATGACTTCCAAGCGTTCAGAAATATGTGTCCATTTAGAGACTATAACAAAGCAGTCGAGAATTTGAAACGTTTAGTCATTTATGTCGACTCTGCCCCAGAATGTTATGTCATGAAAGAATGGGATGTAGTCTTTAACAAACCAAGAGCGACAATAGTTTCAGAACAAGAATGTAAACAGAAACTTAAGAAAATAAAAGTCGTACAAGTTGGCATGAAGATGTTAGATGCTTGGGATATCTTATTGTCAAAGTTAGAAGATTTTTCAGTTCGTGGTATAAAGTTCTATACACCTTCTCCAAACTTCTATTCTATCTTCACTGGATATAAATACGAACAAGTAGAATGGAAAGAAAATGTTATAGAAGCTTGGTTAGACCATGTCAAAGAAATTATATGCAATGGAAACGAAAAGTCTATGAGTATATCTTATGTTGGTTTGCAAACATCTTACAACATCCAAGTGCTAAAAATGAAACTGCTCTCATTGTAATTGGAAAACAAGGAACTGGTAAGACACTTTCTTTACAGATATTTTGTGCAAACTGTTAGAGGGCTATTCGAACCCGAATATGACAAACTTAGAAAACATCTGCGGTAAATTTAACTCTTCAATAGAGAATATGAAACTTATAGTATGTAACGAACTTCAAAGTATAGATACAACAAAGGTTTTAAACTCGGATGCTTTGAAGAGTCTTATAACAGACAAAGTTGGAGTTGTTGAAAGAAAATATAAAGACCAAAGAGTTTGTGAAAATGTTGCAAATTTCGTCATGGTTTCAAACAATGCCGTTCCGATGAAGTTAGAAAGTTCTGACAGAAGATATGTAGTTGTCAGAACGTCAGAAGCTCATATGCAAGATACAGAATATTTTGACGACTTAGCAGAAACTTTGACACCTAACTTTTACAACCACTTGTTCTCATATTTCATGACATTAGATATTTCTAAGTTCAATCCAAGACAAATTCCACATACCGAAGAGAGACAAACATTGTTAGAAGCAAACAAGAGTGTATATGAACTGTTCATAGATGAAACTGACTTTGAGTGTTTAGATGAAAGGTCATTGTACGATTCGTATAAACAATATTGTCAAGAGTATGGTTATATGACAGCGTCTAAACGAACATTCTTGGCAAATGTCAAAAGTCTTTTAGACGTACAGAATGGTGTATATACAAAGAAAAATTTTTCTGAGTAAATTTTAAAAAAAATATTTTTTTTATCCGATAGAAAAGATGACGAAATTCATCTCAGTCAACAAGTATATGACAGAAGTCAAAGAAGAACTAGACCCATTCACATATTTGAATGTTTACTTCTACCATTTTGAAAAGTCTACATTTGACAAAGTTTGGAACATCGAACCAGTTAAGTTTGCTATTGTGACTAAAAATGGTGCGAAATTTGAAGACTTAGACATAGAAGGTTTGTTAACAGTCAAAGAAAGTTTTGACAGAAGGTTTTCAAACCTTAAAGAAGGCAAAGCATACAAACTTGTTATACCTTATGAACCAAAGAAAGCAGACGACTATGAATATTATGAGTCTAAGATAGTTGAAGTTCAAGGTAAATTGGGTAAAAAGATTTTAGAGTCTAAGCCAGTGTTTGCTCCTAAAGAGGAAGAGAACATTGACATTGACCCAGAAATGTTCTAAAAATAAAATTTTATTTTTACATGTCAAATTTCTTTTTCTCTGGCTCTGGTTCTTTCTTCTCTTCTTCTACTTTCTTTTCTTTCTTTTCTCTCTTCTTCTTCTCTGGTGGAGTTATGTCAAACTTCTCAGAACCATATTTTTGTAAAAGGTCTTTGTCCTTTAATAGCTCTTCTATTCTGTTTTCTATTTCATTTTCAAGAACAGCGCATGTGTCTTCTTTGCATTCTAAGAAGTTTTGTTGGACTTCATCTCTCCAAGAGGCGTCATCTCTGTCAACAAGTCTGTCATTGACAAATTTTAAGACTTCTCTGCTTAACGTTTTATGGTTCTTGTCATATTCCCAGAAACAGAACTTTAGAACAAATTCACCTTTCTTGTTTACACTATGTAAGATTTTATGGTCGACAGATGTTTTGCTGTCGAAAAGCTTGTCTCGAATATAGATAGCGAAATCGCTAGACATTTCCTAAAAGATAAAAATTTTAATTTTTCTAAAAATATGTTAGAAAAAAAGTTTGCTGACATTGACAAGAAATTTGAGAATGTTTTAAATAAGAACAAGAGGAAGTTGGAAAATGCTCAGATAAAACCCATACATGACAAGTTCCTATTTGCTCAGAATGGTATAACAGGTCTAATCGCACCACCTGGGTCGGGCAAGACTTTCACTTATCTTAAAATGGCTGCACAACAACAAGAACTAGATGAGAAGAACCCATTCTATGAGTTAGTAGTCATTTGTAGTACTTCTGGTCAATTTGACCAAACCGTCAATTCGTTCAAAGATATTATAAAAAAGTCTAAGTTAGTATGTATAAAAGACTCTGAGTTGTTAGATTGGATAAAGAAGTACCAAAGAAGAGTTTTGAAGTACAATGCTATAAATGAGTATGTCAATTCTAAGTTTAAAGACCCAAATGAGGAAATGCAGAGAATATTAGAGAAGAAACACTTCAGAAACAAACAGAAAGAGATAGAATACATTTCGAAGAAATTGCAATCTTACGATTGGAAGACTTACCCTCACAGATGTCTTCTTATCTTAGATGACTTTGCTTCTCATCCTTTGTTAAAGAACAGAGAACAAGACATGTGTCGAATTCTCAAGAAGCTCAGACACTTTAACATTTCAGTTGTCATTTGTGTACAGACAGCAAAGAGTTTAAGTAAGGATGTAAAGAGAATACTTACTGATATCATACTTTTCCCCGGATTGTCCGAAGACGATTTCATGGAACTTATGAAAGAGTCCATGGCAGGTAAGTTTGACAGACATGAACTATGGGAGAAGTACAAAGTCATACAAGACCCTCATACTTCTTTCAGAATTCATATCTACGCGAACAAAGTTCAAATTGTAAAAAGTCAAGCGTAAAAATGTAAGTGTTTGAGTCTTAGTCTGTTGTGGTGCTGGGGCTGTCGGTTCTTCTGGCTTTGGAATGGACTCGGTTGGTGGAACGTCAGCCATCCGTTTGTGTCCTGTCGGAAGGAAGAGTTCTTCCAGTTGGAAGGAAGGACTTTTCCTGTCGGAAGGAAGGACTTTTCCTGTCGGAAAGAAAAACTTTTCCTGTCGGAAAGAAAAATTTTTCCTGAAGGAAAGAAAAATTTTTCCTGAAGGAAAGAAAAATTTTTCCTGAAGGTCGGCCAAAAAGTTCTCAATTTTCGAAAATTTGAATGGTTTACGGACGGACAACTGGAAAAGTTTTTCCTGAAGGAAAGAAAAATTTTTCCTGAAGGAAAGAAAAATTTTTCCTGAAGGAAAGAAAAACTTTTCCTGTCGGAAGGAAGGACTTTTCCTGTCGGAAGGAAGGACTTTTCCTGTCGGAAAGAAAAACTTTTCCTGTCGGAAGGAAGGACTTTTCCTGTCGGAAGGAAGGACTCGGAATGCCAGAAGGACTCGGAATGCCAGAAGGACTCGGAATGCCAGAAGGACTCGGAATGTCAGAAGGACTCGGACAAGACAATTTACCATCTAGAGCTACCTGAGCCATCTTTGGTGTCAAGCTTGAAAAATAAATGGTTCATTTACTCTTCCTCTTTGAAGTTGTCAAAATACTCTGTTATTTTTTCCTTCAGTAGCGGCAAATCTTCTTTGAATGTAAGTATTGTACAACCTTTCATATCATAGTGTGTTTGAGGTAACGTATCTTGAACTATCTGTTTAACATCTTCATTCGGTGTCATTGAAATCGGTAAGTTTTCGCGATAGAACCAATTTCTGTCAGATTTGTAAATCTTAGCAAGGTCGTAAAAGCTTTTGTTGTTTCTTCTGACTAAATGCAACATAACCATATCTCTGTCTTCTTCATTTTCCATCTCTTCAGTGTAAATCATATACTTATAGTTCTTTTCCTTTCCTTTTGGTACCGAACGTGGTATTCTTTTCTGTATGTTTTTGTCTTCTTTCATCATATCTTCTCTCTGCTTTGTACAAAGTTCGTCAAGTAGCATAAGTATGTAGATTGCATAACGAGGTGAAGCCCACATTGCTATTGAACTAGCTAGGAACTTATGAACATATATACCTTTTAGATGCGATGGTAAGTTTTGTCTGTCTTGGTACATCTTTTTAAGTTCTACATGTTCAAACTCACTGAGGAGTTCATGAGTGCTATTTAATTCAAACCAGTCTTGTGGTTTCTTGGTATCTGGAGCAAAACATGCTGTCAAAATACTTTGCATTTGGTACATGTCATCTTTGACCGAACGAATGAGACGTAACTGTTTGTTAAACTGTATGTACTCATATTCTTCATTTATGGCTTCATGAACGATAGCAGTTGTTGTGTTCTCTGTTGTTGTCATATCTGTCTTTACATACAAATATAAAAAAAATATTTTATAAAAACTAACGCTATTTTTTATCTTGTATAAAAGATATGATTTCAGGGATTTTTTTACGAAGTGTCAAAGTTCTCTTCGTCAAAAAAATACAGTTATATCATGAAATTTGGTCATTTTTTCACGATTTCAGGGATTTTTTTTACGAAGTGTCAAAGTTCTCTTCGTCAAAAAATACAGTTATATCATGAAATTTGGTCATTTTTTTCAGCAAAAATATATTTTAGGTGTCACCAGGTCCCTCGGTCCCTCGGTCAACTAACATCTTTTTGAAAATGGTGACAACATGACATTTTGACAACAACACAGGAAATAAACTTCTTCGTATATGTTTTGTCATGAAATTTGGTCATTTTACTCAGCAAAAATATATTTTATGTTAGCATGTTAGATCTAACACGTTTTCTAACCTCTTTTCTCACCTCTTGAATTTTGTATAAAAAAGATATGATTTCAGGGATTTTTTTACGAAGTGTCAAAGTTCTCTTCGTCAAAAATAACAGTTATATAATGAAATTTGGTCATTTTACTCAGCAAAAATATATTTTATGTTAGCATGTTAGATCTAACACGTTTCTAACCTCTTTTCTAACATAACTATTTACAAGCGTTTTACATGGTATATGTTGCGATGGTTCATGACTTTAAACAGTTTTGTAGCTTCTATTTCTTCACGAAGGATATCAAAAGTTTTAACAATGCCGAATGTTTCTTTATATTTCTTCTTGACATCTGAAAGAAGGAAATCGTCAGCTGTTGGATAGTTTTTGTTCAGAAATGTCAACATGTCCATTTTATCTTCTGCTGGTTTCTCTGCTTCTTTCTTTAAGTCAGCATAGTCGTTTCGCATACGTTCTATCTCTTTGACGGAGTAGTTATATTTCCTCATTGCTGCTTTACATTTTGAACATTGTGGGTTCATTTTAGCATTGTACATTGAAATAAAACCAGCTAGAACAACTAAGGCGTCAATGGTTTTCTTTAACTCAAAAGTTGCTGGTTTTATCTGTTCGTTCCATACTTTACCTCTTTTATCTTTATCTCTTATCTGCCATACACATTTTGCAACTAACGAAACAAAGTTGTCGTAGGTCTTAAATTCTTCAGATTTGTATATGTCAGAGATGTTTTTATATACCATATCGCAGTCTTTGTCCATGACTTTGTGGTTGCAATGAAATCCAAGAAACTCATAGTTTACCTTACGTATGAACTTCTTGGTTTCTACTGAGTCAGTTGCTTTGACTTCTATTTCATCGAATTCTGGAATAGTAAGCTTTTGTTGTTGTATTTCAGGAAGTTTAGGTAGATGGTCAATAATATCCTGCATTTCATAAAGATATTCTTCATTTGTTTCATCTTTCGCACTACAGTCTAAAACTCCTTGGAGAAGTTCCTGCTTTATCTTCTGGATTTCTGTTTCGAAAGTATATGAAGAAGGAATGAAGCTTTTCATCTCTACTAACATTGAAGTTGGGTTCATGACTAACGAGTTTGGTGAAGTTGTTGCTAACATGTTCTTACAATAAAAATAAAAAATATTTTTTTAAAAAAACTAACTTTATTTTTTATGTTTTTTATGAAAGTGTCAAAACTCATGAATTTCGAGAGTTTTCTACGATGTTAGAAAAGTGGTTAGAAAACGTGTTAGATCTAACATGCTAACATAAAATATATTTTTGCCGAAAAAAATGAGTTTTGGTTGAAAAAACAGGTGGAGCCAAAAGTGGCTCGACCTCAAAACAAGCATTTTGTGAAGAATATACCAACCGCCAGAATGTCGACGGTTGCTTTTTATACAAAATTCAACAGGTGAAAAAAGAGGTGAGAAAAGAGGTGAGATCTAACATGCTAACATAAAATATATTTTTCAATACTTTTTCAGCACAAAACATATACGATGAAATCTATCTCCTGTGTTGTTGTCTAAATGTCATGTTGTCACACTTTTTCAGAGAAGTTAAAATGACCGAGGGACCGAGGGACCGAGGGACCTGGTGACGTAGTGACACCTAAAACCATCTAACCTAAACATCTCATTTTTCAATACTTTTTCAGCACTTTTCCGTAGTTGTATATGAAAGACAATTCGAGATAAAAGTCATAGTACAATGGTATTATATGCTGCACACCGTTTGTTGTGAACCAGACTTGAAAGTCAGAGAAACTGTTACTAGGTGGTTCGTAGAATTTAGAAGCAAAGTCATAAAAGTCCTTACCGATACAAAGAAAACTGTTGTTGCTTGAACTGAAACTTGCATGACACATGACATTTTGAGGATCGAACACGTTTCTATAAACTGTCAAATCTGTTGGTGGGAGTATAAATTTAAAAGGACCGTCAGGTGGTAATGGTTCGTTCTGGTTTAGTAACCGAAGAAATTGTGCCCAAGAACGTTTGTCTACTCCCCAATATAAAAACTCTGTATCTCTTGGAGGGTTAATTTCAATCTTTTGAAATGAAACGGTGGAGTTCATCTTGTCGTATTCTAGTTTTAGATAGTATGTTCCATTTAGTAAAGAGTCGTATTTTTCTTGAAATTCCCAGTAGTATTTGTTTATTTGAGTTTGAAAGTCATTTAGAGTTTTTTCAAGACTTTCGTCTGAACGAATTGTAAAGATTTTCATTTCATCAAATTTTTCTATTAGACCATCAGAGCCTTTATACTGACCGTGAAAATATACTGCGAACATAAAAGCGTTAGTTCTATTTGAAAACAAAACTCTTCTAAATCCTATTGCCTTTGCATCTGAAGGGCTTTGAAGCCAACGAACTGGATAGTCAAACCTGTAAGTACGGGATGAAATTTCTTCATCTGATATAGTCCTACCAGCGTTTGTAAAGATATAGTCTAACGGTTTTGTATCTGCTACTTTTGTTCTTTGTTTTTCAACCTGAAGCATTTTATATATGTAAAAATATACTGTTTTAAAAACGTTTTAAAATGGTATGCAATTTTTTACTTCATGCAATGTTTTATTTCTGTGCCGTCTTCAAGTATACCCCAATACTTACGCTTGGAGAGGACATGAACTTCGGTGAAAATTTTGTCCAATTTGAATTGACCCATCTTTTCACCGACTAAACCCATTTCAATGAGTTTGTTGTATCCTTCTTCGTTCGTCATGAGTGCGTCAATGTTCTCATAGTATACCTTCACTTTCGATTTAACATCGGAGAAGAACTCATTGTAGTTGTCAAGGACTGCTTTTGCGAACTGAGGATAAGACCAATGTTCGACAATAGGTTTTACTGTGGTTACTAAGCCACCTTGACCTTGAGTAAATTCGTATTTCAAAACAAAAGGGGAGAACCTTTCAACAAAGTTGTCGACCTTCTCATAGTGTTTACTCTTCATCGCTTGAGGTTTCTTAATGGAATATCCCCATGTCGAATTCATAAGCAATTTGAGTGTCATTGCAAGTTTGGGGTTTGAAGCTTTCCTAATATCATACAGTTGTTGTATGACTTTTCCAACTGTATAGTTCCTTCCCGGGAACTCACCATCTTCGTTTGGAATTCCAGTCGGAATATATTGGACAAACCTCATGTACGCAGCGTTAAGGTCGACATAGTATATTTTTTCATCTGAGTCGAACTTGTCGCATCCAATCGGTCCAGTTCGTGGAAATTCAAGCGAGTCTCTTATCTTCTGAGAAACCTCGCCTGTTATTTCATAAACATCGTCAAAGCAACCTGTTTCATATAAAACCTTCTGACCTAACTCAGATGCTCTCCAATACAATTTGACGTCAATTGGATGTCTCAATGGAAGTTTGTTTATAGCATCTTGAAGTTCTTGCAACCTCATTGGAAGTTCTTCTGGTTCAGGTTGGTATCCGAACAATCCAACTCCTTTTGGAACTGTGTACTTCTTTTGTGCTATAACTTTGTCCGGAACAACTTTTGGTCTTACCAACAATGAAAAGTTTGTTTCGTCTTTTGGTACAAAAGTTTCTGTCAGCTTGTCATCTGGAATTGGTTCCAACAAACCTTTCTCGAAAAGAATGTTAACAGCTCTGACAATGTTGCATTTGCCTTTTCCGAACAATGGGTTTGTAAGACTTTCGTTCAACATGAAGTGGTTGTGGACAAGTACAATCTTCAACCATGGCAATTTGAAGTCAACAACATAGTCGTCATGTGAAGAACCTTTAGCTGTAGGTATGTTGACTCGGATATTGACATTTGCCAACGGTGCAATTTTTGCCAATTGACCTCTGAGCATGTACCTTGTTTTCACACATGACTCAAGATACTTCATCTTCTCATCTGTAACAAGACCAGAGTTCCTGAGACATGTAAGAATACAAGGTTCATTGACAATTTTTTCAATTGAATTGTAAATTCCATACCTTGTCAAGTCAATGTCAGACTTATTTCTGAAGGGGAAGTATCCAGCATGTTGTCTGACTGCTTGAGGGTTAGGTTGGTACCATTCGAACTTGACACTTGCAATTCCTTCAATCGCATTCAAAATGTCTGAGTCGGAGTCAACCATTTGTTCTCTCTTTGTAGTCTTGAAAGCGTCAAGAAGTTGTGCGGCTGTTGTGACATTGCCATATGCATAGTAAATATGACCATCCAAATCTGTTACGGTCAATCTGAGATTGTATCCTTTCTTATTTCCGTCTTGAATTGCAGCAAGTACTCCCATGAAGCCTTCTTTGTTCTTTCCTTCTTCAAAATTTACTGTAAAGGTTCGCCCAGATGTAATTTTACTTCTAACTTCACGATACTTCTCATATGCATATCTTGTTCTTTCCATGGGAGCATGTGCGTCTTCACCCTTCCCTTTTTTCCGTCTCAAGGGATGCAATTGTTCGTCATGTTTCCAGTAGAATCTGGCAAAGCCGTCGTGTCCTTCAACCTGTGGCTCACTAACATCGAAAGGCATGTCCATAAGCCGTTCTTCTTCTAACCTCTCTAGTCTGTTTGGATAATTTGCGCGTGCTGTTTCCAAGTCCATTTCGTAGGTCAGACCAGCCAGTTTGTCATAGACTTTTATTGGCTTTCCCTTCCTATATTTAAACTTCTTTGAAACTTTCCAACCATATCTTTCTAACTCTGCTTTTATTCTAGCAGACCTTCTATCCATTCTATACGGGGGCATTTTTTATAAAAATAAAAAAATGTTTTTTTTTACTTTACGTAACCACCTGCTGCCAAAAGTCTTTGACGCCAACCCATACCAGCTAATGAAGGTTGACTTGGTTTAGTTTGAAAACTAACCTTTGGTTTGGTTTATCTTCAGTTTTTGGTTTATTTCTTCTATTGGTTTTTCGTCACTTTTCGGTTCATCTGACTTTACCTCACCTGCAGGAACAGTTGTGTCGTCAACATCTTCATAAATATCATATGCCATTTGTTTTTGTTTTCCTTTCAACTTTTTGTGTTTGTTGTAAAGTTTAGAATATTTCGACTCTAAGTCAATGAGATGTTCTATAATGAACTGTTGGTCAGTGAAGTAAACTTTTCCATCTGTTGTCTCGAAAGCTCCTTCAGACTTCAATATTTTATTTGTGAGAGTCTGTTTCTTTTTTGAGATACTTGCCGTTCCATTTTTATGAAAAGTGACTTTGTAGTTAGGGTTTGTATTTCCAGACCTGGCACTTTCTATTATTGAATTTTTCTCTTCATCTGTAAGTTCTTTGACAGGTTTTGACAATGGTTCTGAACTTTTTGTTTGTGGTGTCAAATCTACCGTTTCAACTTCTTCAGTCATTTCATCTCAGTAAAAAATTTTAGTTTGGTTTGTTTTCAACTGGTTGTTTAGGTTTTTTAAGTCGGTCTAAAACTTCCTGAGGTATAGGAAGAACTTGACAAACACGTGGTTGTGTAACTGCTGGAAGCCGACAAATCCATCTTGAGCCCATTTGTCTCAATGCTGTATTGTTCATTTCATCTCAGTAAAAAAATTTACATTCCCCACGTTTGAGGCGGTTGAGGTTGGTTGTTGTTTACCCACTGTTGTGCATGGTTATATCCTCTGTTAAAGAATCTTTCACCTTGGTCCATGTAGTGTCCTGCTTGGTTATAGTAGTCATTTGCTTTGTTATAGTAGTTTCCTGCTTGTCATCCTACATTGTCCATCCATCCTTGAACTTTTCCTCTTGTTTCAGGATTTGGAATAAGATTTGCTGCATCTCGTGCTACCTCCCAACCTTTCTGTACGGTTTGTATAATAGGTTGCGCTTTCTCTTTCAGTATACCTAAAGTACTCAAAATCTTCCTTCCAATTCCAAATGCACCTCTGGCTAGTGTTCCCACTGCGGGCAAAAATCTAGATGCGACTCCTGCTAATGCGCCAAATAAACCCATTTCTTATGGGTTAAAATGACGAATTCAAACAAGGACCCGTATGTTTCTAAAGCGACAAAGAAGCACTCATGGTAAAAATCTTTAGTTCAACACCAAATGCTTGGTTTATGGATATCTTGGAAAACATTCCAAGGTATAGAGAAGATGGACCACCATACTGGCTAATATTTGTCGGTCAAAACACAAGATACTGT